GTATTAAATCAACCCCAGGGCTATGAACTACTTCTGACTGACAGGACCAACAGAAAGTTCCAGGCTGATTACCTCTAAGGAATAGTTCGCAGTGCAAAGAGTTACTGCTGACCTACTTTGGGCTTAGATAATTTATCAGGTAAGATAATTAAGGGAATATAAAGCTGCTACTAAAACGAACCAAGTATCAGAAATATTTGTTGAAAACATAAGTTGGTATTCCCAGTGCTATCAGATGGGGCTTTATTACTTAGCAATGAGTCGATTTTATTAAATTTGACTTATTTATAAGCCATTCTTCTTCTTTATAAATTATATTTGGCAGGATGTATTTGAGAGTCTCTTTGATGTATAAATGTATTAGTTTTGACTCTTTTCAGTCTAGATATAAAGAGAAACAATCTTTTAAGCCCTTCTTTCTTCTTCCCTTAACCTCTCCCCCATTAAGAGGCACGCACATCCCTTTACACAGGTGTTTTGATTATTTTTGAAGTCCATCCTAAACAAAGGATGCCTCTATTGTGACAGTGGAAATACTGGAGTGTGGGCCACTTATTCTGTTGAATTTTAACACTCTCTTTTGGAAGCTTAATCCTTTCTTATATTTAGGTAAATATTTATAACTTAAGAATCTTTTGGGGCCGACCCCGTGGCTCACTCGGGAGAGTGTGGCGCTGGGAGCACAGCAGTTCTCCCGCCGTGTGTTTGGATCCTATATAGGGATGGCCGGTGCTCTCACTGGCTGAGCGCGGTGCGGACGACACCAAGCCAAGGGTTACGATCACCTTACCAGTCACAAAAAAGAAAAAAAAAAAAAAGAATCTTTTGTAGCAATGGTCTTTCCCATTGAGAAAACCTGACCATTTTCTGATTTTTACAGTCTTGATGTTCTCCATAAGAAGAAACATACAAGAGAAAAATCTTGAAATGAAATCATAGAACATAAACTAGAGTCTTAGATTATAAGCCATCTGTTTTGTCAAAATAAAAGCATTAAATGCTGTCGTTAATACCATGGTTTATCAATGCATCCTTTAATTATTATTTTTCTCCTTTTTTTCTACTCTCCTTCTCCCTCTCCCTTTTATTTATTTTTTTCTCCATCTCTAATGTGACTTGCTTCTTAACTCAAAACCTTATCTAACTATAAAAACATAATCAGTTGTCTGTGTACTGGCTTTTTAATTCTAACCAAGTTATTTTTTTCTCCATCTCTAATGTGACTTGCTTCTTAACTCAAAACCTTATCTAACTATAAAAACATAATCAGTTGTCTGTGTACTGGCTTTTTAATTCTAACCAAGTTATTTTTTTCTCCATCTCTAATGTGACTTGCTTCTTAACTCAAAACCTTATCTAACTATAAAAACATAATCAGTTGTCTGTGTACTGGCTTTTTAATTCTAACAAAGATATATCTTTATCTTGGAGGTACCTGAATGTAAAATATGAATTTCTTAGATCAGGGTTAAAGAAAGATCGGAAATGAATTTTTCACCTTTGTTTCAATATTGTAGATACAATAATAACATTACTTCTCATCAGTATTTATTCACATCTTGTTATTACTTCATAACGCAGGATTAAGAAAATTTGTATGTATAAAATTGTAGTTTAGATGGTGTCAAAAGAAAAAATAAAACAAAAAACTGACTTGTACTTTTTGTTGTCACACCGAATACGCAGTGTTTTATGTTTGTGAGAGGATCTAGCCATGGTTTCATCCAAAATCAATAGTGTATCCAAGCTCCCTTGATTCGGTGAAGTTCTGGTGACCAGGACTATGGTCAGATCACTCCCCTATTGCTTCCTATCTTACTTCAAGGCCTCTTTCATTCCATGAGTATTTAATTTCACTTATTGCTTTACTCTTGTGTCCTTCAGCTGTTTCTAATCTGCCCTTCACGGCCTTAACTCAGTACAGTATGTTAACATACACAGGTATTTATGTAAATAAAAATCAATGTGTTTATCATTTTAGCACCATTCCTTATTGCTTACACTGGGCATTTTACACACATTTTATTTAAAAGCTACCAACTTTTCATTCTTGCCTGGGAAGTATAGCGATCTTCTTGGCTCCCTGCCCCTGTGGCCCACTAATCTTCACAGCTACGGTGCTTAGCCCCCATCTGCAGGTTCAGCCTTCTTCCGCATTTTGGAACTAATTCTGTCCCCAGGCTGGGGGCATACAAGATATCCTAGCCAAAAGCTAACTGATTCAGCATCCAGTCAGCCTTGCTGCTGGTTTCACTGTGACCTTGTAATTTATTCCCCAGATCCAGGCTATGCTTCTTCCAGCCCCTGGTAGCCAAGGCTTAGTTTTCTACGCCAGTTCCAGTAAGTGGATATCTATCCAGTCATTCCTGTTTCAGTCCCTGATTAGTTTTCTGACTGATACCCAATTACTCTGTGACTGAGATTCTGCCTAGTTCTTCTTGTCCCCTTTGTACCCAAACTTTTTCTGAACTCCATTGCCATGGCTGGGCCCTACGGCTGACTGCTGAGCCTTTCTGATGCCTCTAGCCTTGCCCATGTCTTCTCAGACTGCTACCATGGATTTGATCTTTTGCAACAATTCCAGGAATAACACTGCTTGCTTGGACATTTTCCCTCTGCCTGCTGCAGGCATCTCCCTAGTCACCAGCTCTCACCCAGCAGGTCTTGAGAGTCACTGCATATATGCTGCCTGCAATCTGGCCATCTCATTATTCCAGACATGACAGCAAAGACATATTATTTTAATTGCATCTTTGGTTGAATCGTTATGCTAACATCTTATGTTAGACCTCATATCTTCATCTTAGCCCTGCCACTCAAACCCTTCAAAACTCAGTTTCCTCTTCGTAAAGTAAAATAATAATAGAATCTATATTCTCTGGTTACTTTAAAGATAATTGAAGGAAAAAAAGTACACAAATGGATGAGTAGTAAACATAGTAAGGAACCAATAATTTTTGCTGATATTTTAAGCTCATGTTTTAAATCTTTGTACTTGGAAAGTGGAACTATTTCACTTAAAGAATGGTCATTAAAATGATAAGAAATTAGGGGAATGGAAATTCTTAAAAAAAATAGAAATACGTGATGTTTTTCTTAAAGCAAAATAATAGAAAAATAATTAAAAGCTTGAAAAACGATGAACTACAAATGAGGTCACTAGCAAATGGTAGAAACAAGATATTTTAAGGATGCATTTCCTATCAGTGTGATTTAACATACATGACTATGACTATGCAAGGGCCCTAAAGTGTTCAGGAAGAAGAAAGATTCTTTGAATCAGTTATTTATTTTACAGCAGTGTATCCATAATCATTTTGGTAGTTGTAGAAAAGTAAAATTTTAAGTCCCACTTCTCTGTAATTCTGATTCTCATTAATTTGGGGGAAGAACTAAAGAAATGGAATGTTTTAAAAATTTCCCAAATAATTATGATGATTTGCTAAATCTGGGAACCATAAATTCATCAGACCTTAACATGCCCAGGATGTTCTTTAGAAAACATGCATTTGTTTACCTCACTATGGTCGAACCAGCACATAGGCTCCCTAACTTGGCTGTTAGTTGTCCATTGGCCGGAAGTGTTTACAGGCATAGAAACTCCCCTGATGTCTGCTTTTGTTAATGGATGGCTATTTCCCTGGCTATTCTATGGCAGTGTTTACTTTTAAGTACCTAGTTTAACCTAAGAACCCCAGTTTACTCAGATGGAATCTTCACCTTAATCTGCCTTAAGAAAATATTTTAAGTGAAGGTCATTTCATTCCTGCCAAAATTATTTCGCCATATTTTCTGTCTTCATTTCCTTTAGATGAATTCCTTCCCCCCGTTCACAAAAGTTTGCTCAAAATGATTAACTGCTCTAGGCAAACACAGTCTGCATGTTGAAGAAAATAAAGGACAGCTGGACAAAGGGTGGGAGGTGTGTGTAAGAGAGAGAGAGAAGGAGAAGAAAAAGAAGGAGGAAAGGGGAGGGAGACTGATTCCCTCTCGACACAAAGAACTCACACTGAAGTCTGCGTTGTTCACTTTGCCATATGATCAGGGCAGAACCAAGACACCTGGATGCCCTAGAAGGCTGAAATGTTGGCACCCATTCAAAATAATGAGTATTATTCATTATTTGTTCAACATATCCTTACAGGAGGATCTGAGTATTATTTGGGGGAAGGGAAAAGTTGATCCTAGTTGGCAGCCCAGAGATCACTGTTTGCTTAACTGTCTTACACAATTCAGCTTTAAGTGTGTGCATGAATACTTAAATTTCTGCAGTTACCCAGACCCACCATCTTAGAAATCAGATTAGCAACTACTATCATCTAAATATTTGTGTTCCCCCAAATTCACGTGCTGAAATACTAACCCCCAAGATATTAAGAGGTGGGGCCTTTGGGAGGTGATTAGGTCACTTGGGTGGAGCACTCATGAACGGGACTGGTATCCTTATAAAAGAGGCCCAAGAGGGCTCTGTGCCCCTTCCACCACGTGAGGCTGCAGTGAGGAGTATGCTGTCTAAGAGGAAGCAGGTCCTCACCAGACACTGAATCTGCAGAAGCCTTGATCTTGAACTTCCCAGCCTTCAGAATGGTGAGAAATAAATTTCTATTGTTTGTCAGCTACTCTGCTATGGTATATTGTTCTAGCAGTCTATACAGACTAAGACAGCAACCATCCATTGTTTCTTGATGATTGTTCTTGAGAGATATTCCAGTAAATATTATTTTTTCCTCTATATCTTAACATTGACAGTTCCGTGGGAGCCTCAGTGATATTTCAGTGCACCTTATCAAGTAATCCTGGACAGCTGTCTGGCTGGCCCACCTCTTAATCCAACTCCAGAAATTCCTTGCTGTTATTATGCCCTCAGTTTTTTTTCCCCTTGGAAACTGGATAATAAAATAAAAATGTTGATAATGTCTGCTTTTGGAGAATGGTTAATGGAGTGAAAAGAAATTAATCACTGTTACTATTTTGTTTAAAAAATAAAAATAGCATATTACCAGACATCCTCAGCATCTTCATCACATTCTGCACCAAACTGGCAAATATCGCAGGTGGATGTCTCCTTTTGACTGGTTTCTCCAGAGCCTTCATGGACTGCAGGACAGAAAAAAGTAAACAAAAGGAATTCAGATAAGTGTGTTTAATACCAACAGCTCTAAGACAATTCTTTATTGAAGATGCTACTTTCCCAACCTGCTTGCTATTGGGGCTTCATAAGAATGTCATACTCAACTCTTTTCTTCCTCCAATTTAAGCACAACTCTAACAATAATAGGCCACCCATTGGTATGTAGTGAACACTTCTGCTTTTTATATGCAAAATAAAACAACAAACGAGAATTTACTGGATTTATCAAAATTGCTTGGCTAATAAATAAACCGTATGAAAGTTATTTAATTAAAAGGGATTTAGATTGTTACATCTCTAGAGGAAAAATCTACTTCTTATTCCTAAATTGGAGAATTTTTCACTCAAAGAAGGTTTTCATGTATAATTAAAAAATTTTAGATGGGCAACCCTGACAATAAATATGTCAACTTTTTTTTTTCCTCAAGCTCTTAAGTAATTATAAGGAAAATATGTTGACTATGTTTTTAAAAAACAGCTTTTAGTTTTTACTGTAATTTCTTGAATCTCACATAAATACTGCTCAGAACTAATCATAGTGATTTCCTCTGAGAGAGTTATGAACATATATTTTATTTAAAAAATATATATTAAGGGCAGGCCCAGTGGCGCACTGCTACAGTGCGCCGCTTGGGAGTGCGGCGGTGCTCCCGCTGAGGGTTCGGATCCCACGTACAGACTGGCCGCTCACTGGCTGAGCGAGGTACGGGCGCAACACCGAGGGTTGCGATCCCGTTGCCGGTCCCGGTCCGGTACGGGCGCGACACTGAGGGTTGCGATCCATTGCCGGTAACGAAAAAAGACAAAAAGGAAAAAAATAAAAAATATATATATATATATTAAGTCCCTGGTGATGACTATTGATATTGGTCCTCCCATCACCCCCTCAGATTACAGGTACAAAAGTAGGCAATATATAATAATAATAATAAATAAATATTAATAATATTTAATAATAATAATTATTAATACTACTACTAATAAAAATTAACCTTTCAAAATTAGGACACAATAGTGTAAATTGAGAAAAAATTTCTAGTAGTTCGAGTGCAGGAAGTGAGCAACACTTTTTAAAATTTTTTAAATTTATTTTTAGTTATACATATTTTTGGGGTACAGTGTATTGTTTCAATACAGGCATATATTGTACACTGATCCACTTACTTATTATGATAAGTAGAATATCTCTATCACCTAAACATTTATCTTCTGTTTGTGGTGATTATAGTCAAGTATTTTGAGTGCAAGGAATGAGCAACACTTTTTTGGTGATGGATTACTGCTTAACCAATTAAAATACATATAGCTGAAAGAAAAAATGGTTTTACTTGAATATGAAAAATTGCAATAACCTAACTACCAAATAGATAATCTTATTTCATGGACAGATTGTATATTTAAAAACAGATATTTAAATCAAGAGGACCTTTAAAAAGTATGCTCCAGCAAAAGATCACATATTTGCAATAAAAAGAGAACATAAACAATTAAGTACAGCATTGGTTCCTGTCTTTATGGACCCTAATAAAACATTTTTTTTTTTTTTTGTCTTTTGTCCTGAGCGCCGCCGCGCTTCCCAAGCAGCGCACTATCCAGTGCGCCACCGGGCCGGCCCCTAATAAAACATTTTTAACAAAAACAGTTTATTAACATAAATCCTGAACATATCGAATCTAATCTTACTTATTTTGTTTTAGTATGCTATTTTCTCATCATTTATTCTTTGTCTATTAAGAAGAGAACTTTTAATATTTACAAATGCAAACATCTTTATTCCTTGATTTTCTTTAATTTATTACTATGCAGATGAGTGATTTGATTTACCAAAAAAAAGGAAAAGAGAACATCTCTTGGAGAGTTCTCTGTTTTATAGCTCTTCCAGGAAAGGTAGAGAGATTTACTTTTTCTAAAACAAATTTCTTTTCCTGCGCTTGATGATCTGAATTTACATTTTAAAAAGTTATGAATTAAACAGGTCAACTACAATTGCAAAAATATTGATGGTAAGGTTTCCAATTTGGATGTCATAAAAAAAGCTGTTCCTCCCCCAAAAGAAGGATTTTTAGACTGATAAAATAGACAGCACTTATTATCCATTCTATTACTTTAATACAGGCAAGGCCATTAGAGTGAACCATGAGGATATGAGGGAAGCTGGGGACTCACCTCAGGGGAGACTGAACAGCTGAGGATGGTCTCCTTATTACTTTCTTATTATTAATGCAACACAGAAGCTGCTAATGGGAAAGAGCCTTTCAGTGTTAGCAAGATTAGCAACTTCCAGACTAAAACTTCCCATTACTCAGGAAACATAACAACACAATGGAAGGTCCTTAATCATCAGTGATAGCCACTTAGGGACAGCCCCATTTTCTCTTCTGTAGTCTATATCCTTGGTTAGGGATGTACTGAAAGTAATCAAGGGATGAATTTGACTAACTCAGCAGAACTACTAATAATATTTCTACCCAAAGTCACATTACGTTTCTATAAACGTAAATGGAGATGTTTGGAAATTCCCCCATAAGGAGAAGTAAATTCAGAAGAATCAGTAGTAACACCCCCATCAATAAGCAGTCAGGCAATAAAATGCCTCAAAACAAAGTTACCCACAATGAAAAGTAATATCTTACCATATTACCTGAAGCACAGGTTTCCACATTTGTAATAAACAAACAAACAACTAAATCAGTGCACAATTTTTATTTAACCCTATAGACTAATGGTTCTTAAATAGGGTTGGGCTCAGAAGCTCTGGAAGATTTTGTTTGTTTATTTATTTATTTAAAAATAAATGCCTTGTGATATCCTTGGAAATACTGAATTAGGCTTAATTTGGGACTTGGATTGCATATTCTAAAAAACGGATCATAGAATCTCTGCCCTAAACAATACCAAGAAGACTTCATCTGTCCCAAGCACCCTCCTCATGCATTGTCCAGCACCGGGCTTCTGACACTTTAACGTGCACAGGAAGCACCTGGAGGTTGTGTTAACATGCAGATTCAAATTCAAGAGGTATGAGTGTTGCCTCAAGTTCTGCATTTCCTACAAGTTCCCAGCTACTGTTGCTGTTGTTGGTCCACAAACCACATTTTGAGCAGAGAGGATAGTACTGTGTTTTTCAAACCACAATTCACAGCCTTTTAGCAGGTATGAAATTAGTGCATCATGACCTGCATTTTTGTAAACATGAAACATACTACACTAAACTAGAAAATATCAAGAGTGTATCTTATTTAGCCAGTATAGGTTTTATTTTACAACACTGCTTTAGTTATACATATGTATGTACATACAGGGTTGTAATATAAATCACAATTCTTACTAAAGGTCACAGTCACAAAAGCTTGAAAACCACTGATCTAACACATGTTATATACTCAGTAAATGTGTGTTAAATTGGACTGTTTCTTTTTTCTCTTCTTTCCACATTACCAGAAACGGGAAGAATCAGTGCTTAATTATTTGCATTCATACACTGATTACACAGGATTTAATCTATTCCAAAGTATTGTCTTATTTTAAACCCTTTAGTTTGAGTTGTGAAGTAAAGAATTATTTCCATTTATTTTATAGAAACTTAGGTTTTGGCAAGTGATTGGAGGAAAATTGAGGAGTGAGGGAGGTGGAAATACTGAAAGCACATTAGCTATAATCTGCTGTCCTACAGTTAAAGCTGATTCAATCCTTTTAGGGAGATTTAGAATTGGGAGATTATAAGAAATGATCAAATTACTTCCCTCTCAACTCTCCCTGCCCTGGTGACTTCATCTGAAGTTGCTCCATCACCACCTTGTTCTGGACCAATCCAGGTCTTCAGACGGGTCCTATCCATTGAAACGCCTGATGAGCCCTGTTTTCTACCTGACCCACTATCATACCTCCCGAGCCTCTTATAATATTCTTAACCTATGCTGTACTACTGGAAACATGGTGAAATATAATGTTCAAACACATAATTATTTAAAGTCACTAATTTTGTTTAAAAATGAGTTAAGATTCATATTTAGCTAAATATGCACATCTTAAGGGTACCTTTCAATCAATTTTGAGAAATGCATATTAAGACACATGGAACAACTCTATCATCTTAGAAAGTTCTTTATGCCTCTTCTCAGACATTTCCCTATCACTACCCTGTCTGTGTATGGGCAGATCAGTGATCTGATCTCTAACACCACACATTAGTCTGAAGTGTTCTAGAATATCACAGCAATGGATCATACAATATGTAGTTTTTGTGTCCAGCTTCTTTCACTCAGAGTCATAGTTTTTGAGATTAATTTGGGTACTTACATGTATCAGTAGTTTATATCTTTTTATTGCTTAGTATTCCATTGAATGATATACCATGGCTTATTTATCCATTCTCCTGCGAAGAATGGATATATGTGTTGTTTCCAGGTATTGGCTGGAAATTATAATTGGGTATTTATGAATAAAGCTACTATAAATATTTTTGTAAGAATTTTTGTGCACATGTTTTTATTTTTCTTGGACAACTACCTAGCAGTGTGACTACTGAGTCTTGAGGTAAAAATTATTGTTGGTAGTGTTTTTATTTTTATTTTCCAGTTGCACAAATTTTTAATATATTTTGAGTACTAATTTTTCATTAGATGTGCATTGCAACATTTTCTTTAGTCTATTTTCTTGATATCTTTTTTCAGTTAGCAGAAGTTTTTATTTGAATGAAGTCCTTTTTTTAAAAAATGATTTCTTAATTTCTGCATCAGTTGTAGGAAGTCTTCTACTCAAAGGTTGTGAAGATATTCTCCTATATTTTCTTCAAGTCTCTATTTTTATAAACTTTTAAATTTTATTTTGCATTTAGGGTTATAATCTATCTTGGATTGGATTTTGCGCATGATGTGAAGTAGAGATTGAGGTTCTTTTTTTTTTCTGTGTGAAATGATTTTTCTCTCTTGATCTGTAAATGTGGTAAAATACACTGATTGATTTT